TGCTGCACGTCAGCGCTGAGCCTCAGCCGCACCCCCACGCCACCACCCCCACCCACACCCCCACCCACACCCACACCCACACCCACTTCTCCTATTTTTCATCTTTTTTATCAAAAAGTAAAATGTACATAGAAAAACTTAGCATGGATCATTAGCTAAAAAAAACGAACTAAAACGGAACTAGGTTGCAAAAAACAAGCAAACGCAGCTAAAGATGATGAAAAGTAATCGATTGAACTTCAATCGACTTATCCAACATTCAATGCGAGTAGTAGAGATAAAAATAACTCTAGTAGATTGTTTGATAGGGTGTGGGTGGGTGTGGCGTGTGGGGTGTGGGTGTGGGGTGGGAGTGGGGGCGGGGGGGGGGGGGCGGGGGTGTGGGCGTGGGGTGGGGGTGTTTGACCTTCATCAACCTCGACGGGAACACCCACACCCCACACCCACCCACACCCACACCCACACCCACACCCACACCCACCCACACTCACACCCACACCCACACCCATTCTAATATAACGATATTTGCCACTATACTCATCGCAACTGAGAAAAAGCGCATGTGCTCGGCAGAGTCCGAAAGATAGCTAAAGCGAAAGGATTAGATCAAAACTGCAGCACCTGGTAGTGTTCATCAGCAGCAGGCAACGCTCGTCTATAATTAGTAACTCATAGCGTACTGCGATATTAGAGACTGTATGTTCTAATCTCACAAAAATGATCGTTTTGTTGATGTGCAGTATGACGATACTTTCATCTGGCTACGAAGTTGGTGTCGATTATCATGTGATAGGAACTAATTTTACGGATAGTAGTTTCATCGCACAATATCATCTACATAAAGTACGAATGATTGTTCTGGTTCAACTGCAAGGTACGGCAGATCATGGTGCAAATTTTATTTCGACGAGTATAGGGTTCGTCACTGAACTTGGCAAAGCATATGGTGAACACTATCGAGATTCCTTCCCATTGAGTGAACAGGAAAAAAATAATTTTCATCACTTTGGTCAAGATGTTGCATCTATTCAGAGCACATTAGACCGTTATCGATTATGTCTAGATGTAGGACTATTTTGGTTGGGAGTAGCTGATTACACCAGAAACTATCTTACAGTCAGACTTGGATATTCTAAATTAAACGCCAGTGAATTTACTTTACGCAATAAAAAGACGACAGACAGCGTTCTCGAAGCACTGGAGAGTGTCTCTCGACTAGATGATATTCTATTGCTTCAGACAATTTTATTTAGAAGTTGAACTGATGATGGGAGTCAAGGCAAATCAGTACTAGTTCCTTATCGCACATTATCTACGGTTCGTTGAGAAAGTCAGTGCAGCAGACTTCACTTCATCGATCTATTTTCTCGCTGATGCAAAGGAAGAACACATTTTACAAGCAAATTGTATAGATTCAAAGTATCTCGCTTTGAGTGAACATCGATCAATGTACTGGATCTATAGAAGTCTTAAGTTTCTTGTTGATCAGTGTTTGCCAGTACCAAAAAGAATTGATTTCTTTTGTTATATCAATCGTCGTTCTGCAACATATCTGAATTTAGTGAATCACATTCTTGACGATGCTGATGCTTCATTAACAACTATGGGAGCTCCTAAATTATATGTGATTGCAGAAACATATTGTTTTATTGATGATACACACAAAGAAAAGAATATAGACTCGCATTCACTTTAGCAGCAACATTGAATCCGCGGAATTAAAAAGAATACATCAAATTATTAAAGGTTTCATCTACAATGCATATTAAGAAAAGATAAAGCAAAAAGACAAATATTACATAAAATGAAATCCACACAGACAACAATAAACTGTTTTTAATTGTTTCACAATAACAGAATCTTCATATGATATCCGAATGAATGATCTAAAAAAGAAATAGTATGTTTTTTTGCAAGATGAGAATAATTCAATTTCATAATAGAAATTGGATATAAGCACTTTCTTATGATAGTCCTCTAAAAATATTACTTAAGCCTTGGACAGATGTTCGATCGTCTCTCTTATATTAACCATTACGCTAGCGACAACAAAGAAAAAGATTTTCTTTTGTTTTGACCAATATTTTCTGTCTAGAAAAACAATGCTTAAACAACTTTTCTGTTGTGTAAAATTAATATAAGAAATTTAAGTGCTTTATGCTTTCTCTCAATAGGAAATGTTGATCAAAAAACAAAATGGACTGTTTTATAGTTGCTAATACGGCGCTTAAAACAAGACCTATGCCTGTATTTCTCTTAATAAATGAAAGACTATTATATAAAGCCATTATAGAAAATTTCTTGCGTCCTGCTTTAGTTTTACAGCAAGTGTGAAAGCTATAAAATATATGAGCAGTTCATCGAATTAGTCGTAAAATCGATTCCTATCGAGTCGAAACCGGAGAATTTCAGACACGACGACATATACTCATCTGATAAATGCATAGAGTTCAGAACTTTATTCTCTGGAATATTTCTGACATCTAATAACAATACTAAAATACTTAACTACGTTATTTTGTCGAGCAATATTTGGAAAAAACCTATTCAACAAAATCATTTTAATTACTTTTATATAATATAGTTTAATTGTCTTTGTACATTAGTTCGATAAGCAGCAAGAGATTTATGAAGTTGTTGTTTGTAAAACTTTGATGGTAATATAAATACAACAAAAGTAAGCATAGGTGGAATAAATGGAAGAAAATATCCAATAAGAAATAACCATGCATCATTTGTTGATTCCATACATCTCGATACAAATGAAAAGATTAAACGTGGTAATGCAAGAATAACTAATAGAATTGGAGCAGCCAATAAATTTTTATGTTCTAAAAATTGTTGTTTTAAAAGTTCTTTAAAATTTCTATTAATTTGAAAAATTGATCGTTGACGAGATTTTCTGGTTATAAGGATAATAACTCCAAGTAGATTAATGATAACTGGAGTCAAGAAATGAACAGTATGCATAATAGAATTGAATGTTTTTAAACTAGATGAATAACTAACAATACACCATATTCGTTTATAATCTTCATTGTCTTCCTCAATTAAACGTCGGTAGAGAAGATCAGTAATAGAAGTACCAATAGTAAAAATCACAAGAATAACAATAACTATTTTTGCTATTTTTTTACTTGTTTTCTTATGAAATTGAGTTGCTTTTATTATTGTTACTGCTCGTTCTATAGCAACACAAGCATTTAACCATTGATCCATATTAAGACAAACTCGTAAAATAAAATCAAGAGACATACATTGAATTCGTAAAAATAATCGATTAGATACAAATGTCATTTGTGCAACAATAAGTATCCAAAATTTTAATCCAAATATAATCGTTGTAAGTAAAGTTGTAATTGATGAACCTAATAGATACAAACCACATCCAACTTTACATATAATTTTATTGTTAAATGTAATTAAAGCTAAAACTCCATTGATAAATCCTACTACCATAAAGATTATAGTCAATGCTAAACTAATTTTTACAATATTTGGCTGATGTTTAAGATTAATATGTGGTTGAATATGATAGCCTAATATAGCATCAAGTGATAAACCAAATCCACTTGAACTAAATTGACATCGTGTTCCATAAAAACACGATGGACAAATACATATTGATCTTTGTGGACAATCTGGAGTATCTTGAAAACATTGACCTTCATTTTCGCAGACACTCTGACCTAGACAATTGAATTTCATATTATGATCAAAGTCAAAACAATTGGCTAAACGTTGTTGTTCATAATCATAGCATAAACAAATATGACGATCATCATAAAAACAAGAAAGATTTAATGAATAGTTTTGACATGGTAAATGATAATATTTGATACGACGAAGAACATTCATCTGAGCAAAAGTTTCATTAAATGATTCATTTATATGTTGACAACGATCTGATGGATTTATCATTTTAGTACTTGTTGCTGATCGCTCATATTTGTTTTGAATAACAGCTAAATAATAAATTTTATTTAGAAGTTCAATGAAAATAATATTATATGGGCGTGACCAATAAATTGTAAATGAATTTTGTGTAAGAGGAATTTTTCGAAAAGTTGTTGTTCTCATCGGTATACTATTATTAATAACTTGAATAAAATGAATAAATATTGATTGAGATAAAACAATACTTTTTTGAAATGATAAAATTATTTTGGTATCATCTATTTCGCATCGATCACCAATATAACCTTTTGAACAAATACACATAAATTTTCTAGTCGATATCATATATTCATCAGTAGGAATACATTGACCACCATTTTGACATGATAAATTTTTATCCATTTGACAAATTGTATCGTTAAGAAGACATCGATTACCGAATTTATTAATAGGGCAAAGACATATAGATCGATTGTAAGCAGACACACCCATTGATATTGAATCAGATGAACACATGGAATTATATGGGATAGTACAATGTCGTCCAGACCATCCTCGATTACATTGACAAAAACTATTAATTTGTGGATTATTCGTATATATCATACATCTTCCATGAATACATTGAGAATTAAAACAAGTTTGAATATCTTCATTATTTCGTGGAATATCAGCTATATATGCTAAACGATGAACAGGTAAAAATGGAAATATTATTGGATACAATAAACTTCCTCGATAGGTTAATGAAATTTTTTCATAAATATCAATTTGTATAGCATAATTTTTAGTTTCATTTTTTGGTCGAGTTGAGTAGTGTAAATAAATATTAAATTTAATTTTACAATCTCTTATTGACAAATAAGTAAATTGTTCATATGAATGAATAATTCTTTCTTCACTATCATCGATAAGTGAAATAATTATTGCAAATAATGTTGACCAAGAATCTGATAATACTCGAAATTTAATGGTTAAACTAACTCGTTGATTTTGATATTGACACATGTCACCATAAAAACTAGGTGGACAAAGACATGCATTCGTTGTTAAGTTCTTTTCATTATTTAGCCAGATTCGTAAGTCAAAACCACGATGACATCGAAGCTCATGTTGATGAGACTTTTCGATGTGAGATGAACTTAAAAATTTGGATTTTATTGAATTCTGAGTTTGATCTTGGACGGATTTACTCATTCCTTTCAATGAAAAATATTTAACATGTTGTTTTATCTTCAGTTTTGTTTCGTGACATAAGAACTGTTCAACATCAGAACGAATCGATGAGTAAGATGAAAGACAAATACTGCCGTGTATAGAAATATCTGTTCGATTTTTTATACAAAATTTCTCATCATCTTCATGCTCACAACTTGCACCTTGATTGCATAGACGTGAAGAGTCAATACATGATACGCTACTTGAATTTATGCAATAAAAGTTATCATAAAATGATATCTGATTTTTTCGTTGACATAATTTTGGTTCATCAGTAGCACCAAGACAATCAATCTTGCCGTCATTTCCTTGCTTAACAGGAAGACAAATGAGTTCATTCGTATGAAGTGAAACACATTTGTGATGATCTGAAGAACAATTTAATGTTGAAGATAAATCACAACCAACTTCATCTTCACCATGTGGGCAATTCCATAAACCATCACAATGAGTATAAATATTATTACATGACCATTGTTCACATTCTGTTTCATCTGTTTCATTTTGTTCTTCGATAATTATCGGAATTAGTTCAGTAAATCCATCACAAATTGTTTGAAATGAAATATTCTTTCTAGCATACTGTATAAGAAAATTTTCATCTTCACACCAACCTTCATCTTCAATGCTACAGTCGCAATCTATATTTTTAACAAGTGATTGATGTATGTACTTGTTAGCTATTTGACATTTGAAATGGTATTTTAATAGATTTGTTAAATTAGTGTTATTGATGTGCGTCATATTTTCGTCATCTCTGTAAGGACAATCGCCTTCATTGTTCATAAGACGACTTACTGAGATACATTTTGATGAATTAAAACATTTATACATGTTTAATCCATTACAAATCATAGAAGTATAATTAGTAATTAGATTAAATCTCTTCAAGATTTTGAACAGGTCGTATAAAGGTGGGTAATATCTATCCTCCCATGTTGTGGACATAATCATTAGAGCGAGTAGATTATCAGGACGGAAACATGTTTTATTTTTGAATAAAAGCTTGGGACGATCAATTGAATACTCATCATAATAAGAATTGCTATAGCATATGTAAGGTGTTGTAGGAACCATATTAGTCAGATCCAATGAGTCACCTTTCATGTGTGCGAGGTAAATATTACCAAAAAATAAAGGAATATTTGGAATGTAAAACATATCTGGACATGTATTGTTAATGATCTTTGCACATGCTAGCTTTTCACAAATACCAGTACATAATGGTTTTTCTGAACCTGGTACTTCTAAAAGGCATTTGAAAGCTGACCAACATTGTTCAGATACCGAATCCTCTTTAGCAGAATAGATAGCTTTCAAAAGTAAGGGCTCGCGTTGGTACACACAAGAACTTGTCGTTAATCTAAACCGACATATCTTTTCTTCACAGCCAAATGATGGTATATCCGTATTACATTTATTAAGTTGCTGAAAGCGCGTTTGGATTTCATCAGAGCCATCAAGACAATCAGGAGTATTAATATCATCTCGAAAAAATGACTCAGGTATACATTGCCCATTAGTACATCGATATTCATTATCATTACATTCATTTATTTCAAGTTGCCAACAATGTTCTTCATCAAATTCGCCATCAAGACAATCCACTTGTCCATTGCAAATTTCACTCCAATCTAAACATGCTGGAAAAGGACCACGATTACATTTTAAATGAGTATAACAGGTGAAATTAGTAGGATTATATTCATATGTACGATAATAGTCATGAATGATTTCATTTAAAGATGAATAATTCCAATGATGATAAGTAATTTCATATTGACACATAGAACCAAATCTTGGTAATGTACAATTATAAAATACTTGAGTTTCCAGAAACATATCATTTAATGTTGATAATTGATTCAAATAAAATTCATAACGTTCAGCAACATCTATTGGTGCTGACCAAAGGTATAATTGTTGACTAGTAATCTTTCGTTTCGCAAGTTCAGCAAAAGTAAACTTTGGAAAGGCATCATTATTCTCAATATGAAATTTCAATAGCCAATCATCATTCATACAATAAGATATAATTTCACGATTAAAATTGACTTCATCAATAAAAGCAGCAACACGCAGACAATCGTATTGCAATACAGTATGATTCTGACTTTCACTTACCCAAACTGTATAATGAAGATTGATTTGAGGCGTAGCAACAATCAAATTTAAGAAAATGAAATTGAATACATATCTTGTGTGNTGACATATTATTACGCGGAAGATTGTAATCCGCAAGAGTCTTGTATTTTTGATGTTTTGTAAAAGTAGAGTAGTTTTTTTCACTAAAAAGGAAGAAAAAGCGATTTTCTTTTTAAAATAAAGTTTGACCTAAAGGTTTTGAAGTCGAGAAATCTAAATCGATCTCTCGAAATTTTAGGTGTAATTTTTCGACAAAAGAAAAAATTCTTTTTTTTATAGAAAATCTTTTTTTTGGGGGTGGAAAAATCCAACTAAAAATTCCGAAAAACCGATTTCTAATTCGGATTTCTCGACGTCGACAACCTTTATAAAACAAAAATCGCTTTTTTTTTCTTCTTAAAATAGCTTCTTTTGTGAAGAAATGGATGTACAGTGTGGGAGTGGATCTTCTCTTCAATCACACGAGTTCACGCATATCCAACCCTACTGGCACCACACTCAAAGCCATATCCACACTCTCTCAATTGAAATTCTTAATACCGATCCGAATCAAACTGCCGTCTTTCTTTTTGTATGTCCGATTATATCAATGACATTGATAATTAATAACGAAGTTCGAAAATCTTATTAGCTATTAAATTATGTATGGAAATATGTAAAGCAATTTTATTGTTTAATATAAGTGTCATTTCATAGATTACTCTATGATGTTTTCAATTAGAATCTTTCGAATCCAGTAATCAATAAAAGTAGAAAAATCTTTTCGAACGTAATAATTAGCCCAAAAATAACTCGTGTAATGCTACATAAAAAAATTTAATATATAATCACATATTAAAAAAAAGTGAATTTCAAGATAGTCTAACACCAATTTATAGTCGTTTTTAAAAAAATATTCATTAAATATTGCAGATTTTCATTTGATACAATTGAAAGAACTTCTAAAAGGATGAACAAGAAATGATTAAAAAAAATCGAAAGGAAAGTTCAATATCTTTTTAGAAAAGAATACTTCTAGTAACTTTAATATCAATGCGTGGTATTAATAACTTTCATCTTTTATTAAAAAACATGACAATTGAATACAATTAAATCGAAAATCAAAGTCGTTCCTATAATTTACCCAAACATCATTATTTGTTGTTAGTTTAAATAAACTATTTTGAGAGTTAGCGATTATTCAAGGTTCTTTCAGGACGTCGAAAACAGTGGGATAGAATAGCAGACATTCTGTACTGGTCTGCCCAACATCTCACCGACATGCTCTGAAGTACGGAAGTGTACTGTGGAGTTCTGTTCAATGCATTCATATTCTATTTTTATTAGTTGAATATATTTCTTTAATTGTTTTATTTTCCTTAAGTAATAAGTTTAATAATTTTAGCACAGTAAAAATTTACTGATACTCATTTTATCTATTTCTCTAATTAAATGCATTACACAATATATATATATATACGTTTTGAGCTTTTGTGCGATGATCTATCTTCACTATTACAAAACAATATTCTATCTTTTCGTTGCGTTGCTATTATCACAAAGCATCATCGTGATATATCATTACGCATGTATATCAATGAGAAATAAGATAATTTTGAAACCCAAAGTATTCGAGAATTTATGGAAACTGTACACCTGAAGTCATTTAGAACAATATAGACTCAAGCAGAATCCCGTACCATATCATAGTTATTGTTGTTCAATGGAGCTGTGACTACTAATAAAACTCTAATGTCGCAGATCATCAGATATTAGATTTAATTAGATCTGTTTTATGATATAGGATTCCAAAGCTCTCAATAGAATTATCCACAGAATTCCATAAAATTTAGCATCATTCTATATTTATATTCTCTATATGAAACCGACAAAATATTTTCATTTTTTTTAAATTTGTAACTGTAGAATAGTTTATCTGTTTATTATGAAAATGCATTCGTTTTCTATATTTATTAATCGCATGTCATTGAGCTTTATCATCATAAAATAATGATCGTGTTTTTTATCTTTTTCCTTCTGGGATTTTAATCAGCTTCGCTAACTTTGATAAAAATACTAATGAGTCAAATAATCAATGAGAAAATCAACACTTGATATTTAGTATTTATAAATAAAAGTCGAATGAAACTCAAGGCACAAAATAATAAAAACGATGAAAATATTTGCATTATTATTCGTTATTTATTTATCATCTAACAATATTCCAAGTAAAGTAATTTTTCTAATGAAAAATAAAAATTTTGATTTTCGTCTATTTTTAATTTAGTTAGTAATGCTGAAGTTGATTGTAGCGTCTATGATAATGAGCTTCATGCTCTCAATATAAATCCATTTTATATTCGAAACGGTGAATATTCTTCTGCTACCTGCTTTAGTTACATTGATTCTAGTAATCCATCACAAAAAGTTACAATTTTTAGGATATTTAATGATGCTAATCCATCTTCAAGTATATATTGTTTGAAAAGTTTACAAAAGCTTCAATTAGTAAATACAAATTTAACAATATTACCTGATATAAAAAATTTTCAAAATTTACAATCATTAATAATTCAAACAGATAATGGTTATATTGATAAACATTTACCATCTGAATTTGGACAATTAATATCTTTATTAGAGTTAAAATTATCTAATATTGCAAATCTTGAAGATTTACCTGATGAAATTAAATATTTAAATCAATTACAAACATTAACATTAGAAAAAATTCCAAATTTTAATAAAATACCTGATGAAAGTATTAGTAAATTAATTAAACTTAATAGATTAAATTTAATTGAATTACCAAATTTATCAAATATTCCATCAAAAATGAATAATTTTCAATTATTACAACAATTAGAAATAACCAATACGAATATTAATAATTTAAAATTAGAAAATTTAGCAAGTTTATATAATTTAACAGTAACATTTAATGCAATATTACAAACGATTGAAATTACAAATATGTTAACATTATCTTCCATTGATATTCGAAATAATAATGAATTATTAATATTAAAATTGGAAAAGCTACCATCTATGAGAACAATGTTACTAAGTGACAATGCACAATTAAAAACTGTTACATTAAACAATATTTTTACATTATATTATTTTACATCAAAGTCATTATTAAACTTAGAATCAATTTCATTTGAAAATACACCTTTTTTATCAACACTTCAGATTCTATCAAGTCCTCAATTGAAAAGTATTTCATTTGTTAATGTAACATCAATATCAAGTCTTGATTTGTCTGGATGTCAATTAACAACATTTCCTGAAAGTATTTTAACATTAAAATCTTTAGTGTCATTAGTTATGACATCAAATCAATTATCAACATTACCATTAACATTATCAACTGATTTACCTAATTTACAAGTTCTTCATTTGCAGAATAATAAATTTCAAGGAAATATTTTTCAATCACCACTTATTTATATTCATGAACTTTATCTTACAAATAATTCATTGACATCTATTGATGGTATTGGAAATTTTAAATCCTTACAAATATTAAATTTAGATTATAATCAAATTTCATCAATTCCACTTGAAATCATTAAAGTATCACCAACATTAAAGACAATAACAATAAATAATAATCTATTAAATCATATTCCATTGCCAATGATAAATATGAGATTATTAAACAGTTTTACTGCTATGAATAATAATGTTTCATATCAAGAACGTCTATATCTCTATGATTATTTCCGTCAATCATCTATAAATATTAGTTTTTGATTAAAAATCATATTTTATGATAAGTCTATTCATATTTATTGACTAAATAAAAGAAATCCAGCTCATAAAGAAAAAGCAAACAGTTTCTTTTGATGCAAAGATCTTTGCCAGTAAAATCAATAATTCAATCCTTATAACATTGAATAATGACACACGAATAAACTATTTCAATAGTAAATAGAAAATTAATTCGATTAGTTGAATTGCAATATTCTACAGTATAAAGTTCAAAGACAAAAAAAATATTATAATATTGTTTATTTCATTATCATCATCATTTAGATCTATGTTCAACTAGTTATTCGATTATTATTATTGTCATAGTTCATAGAAAGTCTATTCAAATGACTACTCCTGGTATGCACTGCAATGATATATCTTACGTTAGTTGATAAATTGATCATAGCCGCGGTTCATGAAGAATTGAAAATTTTCGTCATTTTTATGAACAAATAAGATAACGTTATGGATTAGAAAACAATCAAAAACTTATAATAGTATTGGTCTATTAGAGAAGTAGAGATTCTAAGAGTGAGTAGAATGCTGATGAAACAGTCGTTTAATAAAATTTATATCTTTCCTACAACTACTGTTAGTTGTAGCTATTAACATATGATCGGTATGATTCAGAGTTATGACTTGTCTAAGATTTTTCATGATCACTGGGTTCAAGACTCAAGTACGATATCTTGTAGATATGCACCCAACAACATAACTACTCAATAATAGTGGACTGTAAAAAAGGTAAACACTTTTCTGGACATCGATTGACGTTAAAGTTTTTCTCAATTCAAAATCTAAATAACAATACATTAGCTTCAAGAAACTTTTTGCATCTCTTCGATGTTTATGTCGTTTTCAGTCAAATTTCATTTGATAGCTTTTTGAAATGCTCTACAAGATACTACTAATTATGAAATAGTTTTTTTGTTGAGAGTTCTCAGCTTTCGCATGTAGTTGCATTTGTCAAACCATGAAAAATTTTTAAAATCTCATATTCTAGAGTTTTTTCAACTAGCATATAAATATATAAAAATTACCGTCTGACAACAACTATCGACTTCCTCAAAAAAATGTCCTATACTAGGGAACTTATAACGGCATCGATAATAGTTTTTACAAGTATCGATGAAATTTTTTGTGAAAGTAATAAAAAAATAACTAGATTATTATTATACATTTAAATTCAATACTTCTGATCTATAAATGATCTCGTAATATATAAGTTTTTAATCAAGATTTAATTTTCATTTGTTTTATGAAAATGATGCTTCTTTTAGATATGAAAGTTCACTAGACTTGTAGAGCTCATTCAATTCTACTGAAAAACTTATTGTAAGTGAACAATTTCCAATAAATTATATTGTTCTCAAACAACAGTGAAATATCAAAGTAATTCGCTGTCTTATTAATTTTTTCGTATCAGATAGAAATTTCTTATATTTTTTGTTTTTCGGCTGGTAATCTATATTGAAATTATCTTTTTCTTGTAGAATTGCTAATTGTTCGTTGTTTTTGTTTTTCGCTCGTACTTGCTCTTGCCTTACAGACAAACTCAAATAAAAAACAATGATTAAACTCGAAGACACCATTATACGAAAGAAAAAAAAAATTTATCGACGTAATAAAGAAACACAGACACAAGACAAAGACGTCATGATATAATATATTTATAAGCTGTATTTTGTTTGCTAGTGATAAGACTACCTTGTTGTTGCATAAAAATTCTCTTTCTCCGAATTTAGTGGACTTTGAATGTGAAGTAGGATGATGGTCTTTTGTTGTTTTCATTCTCACCGTCATACTCTGAGTGAGGCATCGATCAGTTCGATAATAAAGTAAATAGCAATGAATTTATATTTTTCTTACAAATCATTTTATTCATGATGGACAACTTTAAATTTCATTGTGAAAATATTTCAATTCAATTACAGATCAGTAATTATTATTGTCTTATAAAAATTTCATGAAATCACATAATAATGGTGGTGTTTGTGAGTCGAAATAATCCTTGAATCCATTCAGTTTCTTTTTCATTGAAATTGTTATTGTGAATGTCGAGTGTTTGTAAATTTTTGATTCGGTAAAGTGAATCAGGCAGCGTTGTGAGTAGATTGCTGGATAAATCCAAGTATTGAAGACTTTCAATATTGTCTAAGGAACCGGTTGAAATCGATGTGATCTTGTTGTTTCGAAATGAGAAGGAATCACTAGAAACTGATGTAATTGTTTCGAGGCCATCAAGAGATGTCAGTTGATTTTCATTCATTTCAATTGTACGCAGATTATAAATGTTATTTGGAAGATGATCAATCGCACAATTCGATCCTCGCAATGTTGTAAGTGATTTTAATCCATTGAGAAAATCAAGCGAGAAAAGTCGAAGATTGTTGTTGACCGATAAAGAGGTGAGAGATGGCAGTTGACCCAAAGTAGCAGGAAGAGTGACAAGTTGATTTTGGTCAAGAGTCAGTTCAATGAGGTTACTGAGGTAGACGATATCTTCTGGAATTGTTTCCAGACCACAGTTGACAATAGAAAGTGTCGATAGAAGAGTCATACCGAACAATGCAGGTGGAAGAAAGAGAGATTTCGAAATGTTGAATGCAGTAAAAGATTTGAGTGTGGAACCAAGACGAAGGATCTCAGGTGGAATTGATAGATTAATAGAATCTGCGAGTGAGAGTGCTTGCAAATTTTGTAGACAGAAGAGAGCAGGTGGAATATTGACAATATTAACCAGATTAAGTTCGATCACACTACCATACATATCGACTACGGCATAACTAGAACGAGGTGATGACTGTTGAGGCTGAGAAGGATTGATAGAGACATGAAAAGGAAAAGATTGAATAACTTGTTTGTCCGATGTGTAGACAGAACCATTTATCGAACAATTGCGTTGCGGTGGTGGTGTTGGAAATGTTGTTGTTGTTGTTACCGTTGTCGGTGAATCACCTGAAAGAAACAAACAAAAATATCCGCTTAATTATCTAATCTAATAGTAACACATTAATGGAAAAGACCAAAACAAAAAGGACAATTGTTATCGCGATTATTAGTCTTCAAACATTTAGTAAATCTTATGTTACTACATGTATTGTTTTTTTTCATCAGAGTTTTAATCGAACCAACCCTTGTGAAGACTCTGTTTATTTGGTTTTTTGGCTGTTTTTCTTTATTTCTGTTCGAATGTGAGTTTATGAGTGAGGATGAACAACACATCCATACCCACCAAAAGCTCAACTTTCTATTTTCATATGTTCCTTAGATTATAAATTATACAAGGTGAAAAACTACAAAAATTTGACAGCAATTGTCTACACAGAGATAGATACACCTTGGTATAAATATGTGCGCTTGTAGATTGGCCATTTTATTATGCATAACAACACTGAGCTGATGTGTCGTCGTACTGTTTCATCTCTAGACAGTGATATTTGACATAGTTAATTTTCAACCAAGTTTCGTTACACATTCTCTATGAGAAAATAAGAGGAAAAAAATAAGAGGAAAAAAATAAGAGGAAAAAAATAAGAGGAAAAAAATAAATAAGACACATTGGTAATGATCGATCTACTGATGTACGGCTGATAATCAGTATGGATTCCATCTATGATGTGTGTTCATTATGTTTCTGAACGTCTCAGAGAAAGCATTAAGTGCTTTTACGACATAAACTTAGTGTATTTAAAAGATATATTATACAAAAAAAACGATTTTTTGTCTATTACGTTTTTGGAAATGTTGATCACGCGGCGCCGCCTCATGATCTTAACAGTTGAACTTTATACTCACACACAATAGAAAAATGATTGATTTGTCCAAAGAAAATGAGAAAATAGACAAAGCATCTCATAATCTATTTCAGTTGTAAATGACTTATGCCCTACATATTCAAATATTTCGATGAAAATCTTATGAAAATTCAGAATATCTTACACATGTCGGGCTGTCATCAATAGATTGATTTAACTGTTTGCTCTCCAGAATGCTTCTGTTTTTCAACTTATCAAACTCTCATTATTATCGATTAAAAGTCTATTCGAAACTATATCATTAATCGAACAGATCGGACAAATCCAATGCTGTAATATAATGATCCAATCTAAAAAATATACAGTGAAACTATGGAGCATTTTATCAATCGATTTATTCGTAATATTTATCAATAGTATTGAAACATCTAATACAATCTTCGTTGACGTAAGTAGAAATGAATCATACATCATAGTAAAATAAAATACCTAAATCATTAATTTAATCAACATTCTCAAAAAATCAAACAATTGAAAGAGAATAACAGAAACAATAGTAGTGTAAGAAAATTACTCAAATCATTATCCAACAAAAAAAATATTTATTTTTCTAGTTTCTATCATTCCTATAATTTTTTTTTCTAATTTCTTTCTTCATACTCCACAAGATAGAATCAATTGAATAGTATATCATATCTTTCGATAGAAATGCCGTAGGAATGAGATTATGCTATGATACAAAGATACTGTTCATTTCGCTTGATCTTAGTCAAAGTATTGGCAATATAACATTTTTCTAGTTTACCGATGATGCTCTATCGAATGATCGACTAATGACAATAATCTGTAAACTATAATTTTTGCTATACTAAATGAAATAAATAGTGAGTCAACTACATGTTTCATAATTTGCTCTGTCTAACTCTGATCCTATCTCTTTCTCAAGTGCTAACTCTTCCAAAAATAATTCTCACAATACAAAATAATAGCTTCTTATTCATATCATTCATCATAGAAAAGTTCGTTTTGAGTTCACTTACGTACCACATCCATCCCAGCAGGCACATTTATTTGTTAAAATAAATTTATAATTATTTGTAGTAGGTTCACCTAAAGCTTCTAGTTCATTAGTACCATCGATTGCACATTGTAAAGTAACTGTGACTTTTTTGTCACCAGCTGAATATGATATTGTAGGACTAGCACCTAAACCAGCTCCTGGACTCCATTTTACACTATCTTGTGAACCAAGTGAAAAGCTAAATTTTCCATCCATTGAAACTAAACAGAATACAAAGTAAAATAGATGAATTACATCGTACTACTAACTTTGACAAACAGCTACTCCTTTACACGCAGGTTCTTCGTTGAATGGTTTACATGGATTATAACTATATTCTAGAATTGATAAACATTCAATAATACATATTTAAGATAAATTCAACATACTGTAGTTAGATCCTGTCGGTGGTATTTTATCTGCATATGCAGCTTTTCCATCAGTTCGACCTAAAGAAGTTAAATCAATAACACCATTTTTAGGATCTTGAAATCGACATGGATCATCAGCAATAACTAGCGATGATAAAACAGCAAAATTAATGAATATCGTTAACCAAAACATTATCCTGACAAGACACTTTTTTTCAAACAAAATAAAATAATCAGTAAACAATATAACAACTGAATAAAATAAAACAACAACTTATCATTACCAGTTATCTTATTGTTTGTTACATTATTTACTAAAACACTTCAACATTTGTTTCAAAACGACTAACTTTATCATGTCCTTATTTATTTTACATCACTAGATAATAATAAACATTGTCTTTTACTTTCTTTTACATAATATCAATCTTACACAAAATGATTTTTTTTTTTTTTAATATGAAAGTTTATTGTTCCACATAGGGTTAACAGACACTGATACAGTTATGAGAATAAAAAAAAAAAAAAGAATAATAAAGATAAACATAAACAGCCATTTCTCTTTTCTCTCGCTTAGCTGTCGTCATCTCCTCTGGACGTCTGAAATATATATATTAACAAAAAAAAATNGGAACCGGATCTGTTGGAACCGAAATTTGTTTTCATGACAACTATAGCCATCTATATTTAATCGTTCTCGAATAACTGTTGAACAAAAAACTTTTCTTCCATTCCCGATATAGAATAGTAATTGTAAACAAACAGAAAGAAAGAAATAATTCAGTTGCATACACTTATAGAAAGAGTCAACAATAGCTTATTATTTTGTAATTTATTTTTTTAGATTTTGTGCGAAGATATCACCGGTGTGTGAGAAAATTATTCTTAATGAAATGGACGATTCTTCATTGACAAAAGAAAAAATTATACAATTGATTAAAAATGATGATGCAAGTTTAACATTTGTAAAACCCAAAACATCATCATCTGCAGCTTGGTCTTCTTTCAGTTATATTTTTATTAGTAATCGAAAAAAAGATTTTGTTTGTTGTGATAAATGCAAAGATGTTCTACATCATAAATCAGAATCTGGCACAAGTAACATGATCAAACACATCAAATCATGTCAAACAACGAGCAAAGCTATTCCTAATGCTTCGCTTACTATTAAAGAATATCTTCGTCCTAAAACTGTTCAACCTATTCCAAAAATATTCAAAGAAAAAATTACAAATGCAACTGCTGAATTTGTTGCTTTAGATAATCGTGCATTTGGACTTGTATCTGGTGACGGGTTTATCAATTTAGCTCAAACAATATTCAATGTTGGTCAAAATTTATCTAAAACACCAGATGTGAATGTTTTAGATTTAATACCAAATCCAAGAACTGTGAGTAAATATTATATAAAAAAACTGAAATAAATAAATGGAGAATTTCTTAGTTCACAAAAGAAAATCGTTTTATTTCTTTTATTTACTACTAGGTCAGTCGGAACATCGATCGATTATATCATAACAAAAAGTCTCAGCTGATAAAGCTATGTCAAAATATGAAATATTATACAATTGTTGTAGACTTCTGGACCGACTCACACACCGGTAAGAATATACTTTCTAACAAAGCTTTTTATATATTATAAAAAAAAGCGACACGCTCGCAGTAATGGATTTAATACTATTATTATTAACACTATTTATTTATTTTCAGGTGTCAGTTTTTGTGGTATTGCTCTTTTTCATTTAAATGATCAATTAAAATTACATGTCTTTATTTTGGGTTGTTTTCCTTATGATCGTGATAATCAAACAGCAAGTCAAATTCGTCAATTTGTTGACAGTAAATTAATGGAATTCAATTTAACCTTAGATAACAGTAAATTCGTAGTATGTGACAATGAAAACAAGATGAAATCAGCTTTCAAGGATTCGTGTACTAGAATCGGATGCTCAATCCATTATATTAACAAGCAATTGGAACATTGTTTTACCACAGATGTTATTGATAAAGTGCCAGTTAAATGCGAAATTGTTCAACAAATGTTCGTTCATGTACGAAAAATCGTAACCCACACTAGAAGAACACATAAACAAGCAAAATTATCTCGTAAACTTCAATCATATTGTGATACACGGTTCAATGGTGCTTTTCTTACAATGCATGTATTCTTATTGGTGTTCGACGAATTACCTGGTGTTTTAGAACGAGCTCTTATGAATGATTATGAGTCAATAGATAAAGATTTACTTTCATCTATTTGTTTATTTCTTAAACCATTTGAAGAAGTAATTGAGCAATTTAGTTCTGATACAAAACCAACAATATATAAAGTTTTACCGTTTAAACAATATTTACTTAGTCATTGCAAAATTCATCCTGATGATCATGATGGAATCCAACAAGTTAAAATATTTCTAGGTATTTCTTTAATTTCAAAGGTTCAGACATCCTCTAAATCTTTTGTACAATTAGGAACGTCTAGTAAAATCAAAGAACCATTTAAGTATATGATAAAATAAAAAAAGAGTTAATGCTAATTACGAAATGATTTTATATTATAAATATGTCTAAGAAACTCGAAATATATCTCGTGATAAAACGTTATGATTTTTTTTTTAAAGATCTGATTTTTTTGTTTAGAAAAACGTATCCAAGACGTTTTGATCTTACACGATGTACATTACATCACCACATTTTTACATCCATCATTTAAAAATTTCGATAAATGTCCTGATCTTCGTGCAAAAGCTATTGATTTAACAAAAAATGAATTGATGAAGCGTCAACCATCATCATCTATTATCTGCTCAACAAACAATAAATCACCTGTTCGTATAGCTCAACTTGATCCTCAAACATCATCGCCAAAAACTCTTCTTTCACAATGTTTTGATACATCAAAAAATGACTTAAAATTGTCAACAACACCTTATGATGAATTAGAAGAATATATGGCATTCAATGTTAGATTAAGTGAAAATGATGATATTTTATTATTTTGGTTAAACCATAAAATGAAATTTCCAACATTATTTAATATTATTCAAGATTTTTACGCTATACCTGCATCAAATACCACTATCGAACGTCTTTTCTCGTCATCAAAAAATACAATTACAGATAAACGTACACGTCTTGGTACAGAAAAGATAAACAAGTTATTATTTTTACAAAAGAATCTGAATTTATTGAAAGAAATTGCTAAACAACCAGTTAATGAAGCTGCTGTTACTGTAACAAAACGAAAGATGGTTCTTCAGTCATCCTGCACAAGCTTATACGACAATCAAGAAGAATTAATAACTATTACATCTACCAAGAAACTGAAGTTGAATGAAAAAGATGATATTATTTTTTGCGAGGATGATGAAGAAAATGATGTTGAGTTTTTTTAGAATTTATTTATATAGTACTAATTGTATATGAACATGTCATATTATATGGATTTTCTACTTTTTTTCTTTTTTTTGTATCTTTTGAAAGAATTGCTTTTCAATAAATTAATAAGCATAAACAATGAAAATAAATATAGATATTTTTGAAAAAACCTAATACAAATTATTATGTAATGTATCACCAGATCAACGGTTCCCGACGGTTCCCAACATTCATTCTAGGATCCGACCGTAGAACCGTTTTTTTCAACTTTTGTTAACCGAAACCGGAACCGGAACCACGGATCCGGTTCCGGGTCCGGATAATATCTGGAACCGCCGGACTCTAGTTGTAAGTAGCTTGAATATTATATTTTTCTTTATTTTTAATCACTCCCACACTATACACCAACATCCTCACTCCCACACTTCTGCATGCTGTCAATTTGATACACAATGACGTCTCATGACGAAGTCGTGTGTATTGACGGTGTTCTTTTCTGGGGTCCGTGATTAATCTAAGATATTTGGAGTTTTTATCTCGGCGAAAAATTGTTCATTAGCACTACAGTTTATGTCGTGCTCTCTGTTTATCTTTTTATTTTATGGATAAAGTTAATTTGCGTTAAGTATTGATTAGAAGAGAGTGTCATGTGATGCCAATGAAATGAATTATGAGAGAGTAACTGTACCAGTAACTGGAGATGTGTCTGTACCTCTATGTATCCAAAAGGTCACAATGTAGAGTTTTCCTGTGATGACGTTAATGGATTGAGTTATTTTATCAAGACAGTCGTTGCCCCTTTCTCTAACGTACCAGTTGCCACTGTGTGCGAAACTACTATTATTGATTAGAGTGGCTGCTTGACCTCCACAAGTATTGGAACCTGTTATAATTATCGCCCAGCCGGGTAACCAAATGCCTGATTCAAAGCCTCCATTTGCCAGTAATTGAGTATCTGCTGTGTACACTGACACATCATCTAGGTACCAAGCTTCATGTTGATTAATAAGGTAAAATGTCAGATTGACTTTGCCTGTTTTTGGCGAGGTCCATGCGAAAGAACGACAAGTATACGTAGATTTCTCAGTCGTGACTGAATAAAGGGTACTGTTAGAGCCAACATCAACAGGTGTACACTCTGTAAAATAGAAAATAAGTTTTATAGAACAGAAAAAGCTATTGAAGGCATGCTCATACAAAGTCAAGAATGAATTTCTATTTTGTTAAAAATACAAGATTTAAGAAACTTTGAAATTCAAGTTTCAATTTTCTAGATAAAAATCACTATTTTATTCATGTGAAAATTTGTGAAATATTGAATTCAATTTTACATTCTGAACATTTACAGAAAAATAGAATATCTATTATAATTTTTCATCTTGACATTAAATTGATCTTTCACTTTCATACCAATTTTTACTTACAGCCTTAAGTCTATTGATAGGCCAAAGGTATATATGTGATAAGAAAGAAACTAAGCATTACTTGAGTTAGCACGCTTTAAAAATATCAAAAAGAAAGCATAATTATCTGGCAAAGATTTTAATCATACATATATTGAAAGGAGGCTAGTTTTATACAAAAGTGGCATCATAGTTGCTAGTAAATAGCCCTTATGCACTTAATTAAATATGCAGAAGTTCTAGGAAAAGTGTAATTATATAAAATGAACACTTTTATTAATTGAAAGAAGAATGTCTCAAAGTGAACAATTAATTTTGAACGCAAGATGGCATATAAGGGAAAGTATGTTGTTGAAAAACAGAACAAAACTGAGAATTGTCGGAAATATTTCAGTAAAAAATGATATTTTATATTTCTCATGACTAATAAAAAATAATTTAGTGCTTGTTTTACGTAGTGTTATATGACAAGCTCATATGCACTAGCTGCACTTTGAATGAGTTACATAATCGCTGCAGCTACTGAAGAAAGAAAAGAAATGAATTGTCGATATTGTCGATTGACTTAAATATGTCACTAAAAGATGACGCTGTAGTCGTCATTTTTTGAATACTTTTCCTAAAAGTAATGTTGATTTTTCCTTTTTAGAATCTAGATTGATTTTCTATGAAATTGTAAATAATTCTGAAACATCTTTAAAAATTTTTGTTAATCCTGTAATTTGTTCCAAAATGGTTTTTTAAGAAAATCAGATTGAAGTTTTACTTCACGAAAAATCAAGCATTTTCTGGACATTATGAAATTGTTCGGCGATTAGTTATCACTAGAAAACATCTGAGCTTTTCCTAATTCAATTTTGTCGAATGTAGAATTTATTTAAGATTTACAGTGCATAGAGATCTCGGACTTGCCACTAGTTGAAATATATAAATGAAGATTTATTGAGAATCAAAACTTGCCGAACATCTACGTATAAATTGGGTTTTAAGATTCAGATCTCTAACCGAAAGTTTGCATGTTATTGTTATCAACATTTACTGGATCTCTTGCTTTCTTCCTATTCTATGTCTATTCAGACAATATGGATAAAAGTTTTCGTAACCAGTTAGTTGGTAACATAACGATAACTGACGGCGTCCAGTCTGGAGTGAATCATAATCAGTATGAGGCGGCAGATGTATCTGTTCAGAGTATTCCAGTGATAGAAAAGCAAAAACAATTTATTGTATTGACTACACTAACTCACTTGACTTCATGGATTTCATTGACTTCATTGAAATTGGTAGTGCCAGTGGAGAGACGTGAAGTTAATGGCTATCATGGAATCATAGGCGCAGCTGTTTTTCCCTTGAAGAAAGCTCACTTTCTTTCGAGGACTAGAGTACTGTTATTTGCTATACTGGTAACTCTCAAAAAAATGCTATTGAAGCTTGAAGTCTTCACAATAATCTAGGCGCGATATTGACTTGATATCAATGATAATAATTTCTGTCAAATTAGTTACTATTCCAATCACGATTCGCATTATCCTATTAGGTAGCTTGGTAATAAAAAGTATTAGTTAACCTAGTCTGCTACTCAAAACTTACAAAATAACTACAGATAATTATTCTATTATCAATAAATCCACTAGAAGCTGAATCGATATAGAGAAAACTACCCCTGTATGCCTGTTTTAATATACATTTCCTCGATAGTGAAAAGTCTGCTACATTTTCGTTAAAACAAAGAAATTATCTGTTTTCAAGCACTGAAGATTTTGTCTTACAAAATTTCCTGAAATAATTTTGCTATGTGAACTGCATTTCGTATTTACCATGAAGATTCAAAGATGATAACAGATTTCGTGCATCAGATAACCAATTATAAAATTTATCCCGCAGATCTATTTTTGACTTCTATTGTTTGAATCTTTAAAGTGTTGTGATATTTTGGTTCATTTAGCGTATCACTCACGTTCCTAAATTCTTCTTGATTGAATAATTTCTCATGCAGAAATTCTTTTTCTGGAATTAACATGGAGCGATGTAGTGGTATTTAATCACAATCAACTTACAGTTGTCAAACTGCTCTCGAAGCTACCTGTTGTTAATATGAATGATTACTTCTCTGCATGAGTTGCTTTCTCTATACATGTATTAGATAGAATTTGTAAGGAGAATAATCTATCCAAAAATTCGTTTGCTAAATGTTTCTTGCAGAACCTCAGAAGTTAGCTCTACAGATGGAGTCTTTACAGTAGCATGCATGATGCAGACTTTAGACAATGAAACACAAAGAATTCTAATGTAGAATTTTGTATCATGCAAAAATAGAGTAAACTGTTATTAAAATCAACACGTTGATAGTGCTTGTTTTCACCTATGTAGATATAGTCTACAAAATGAGTTCACTAACTTCTACGAAAGCAATGTTTCAATCTTAGACAAGCCAATTTCAATAAGAAACTTCCCAAAAAGCGCTAAAAGTGATTTAGTTCCGATTCAAGAAATCTGAAGAAAATGTATTATGAGTGTTATTGTCCATAAAATGTTTGAAGGAGATGTCAATGTTGTTATGCAATGCATATTACTTTACTGCCTGTTAAACACTGAATCTTTCATCTCGACGTATACCTTAGGAGTATTTATCAAATGGCTAAGTCACTGAACATCAAGTTGGGAAAGAACACTAGACGAATACGAATTACCAATATTTTCCGAACTTTCCTACGAAAACTAGCGACTAATGGCGAACATGATCCTCTTTGCGGTCGTCCATAACATACGTCCATGTGAAGAAGCGTGGAGAGAGATTCGTCAAAACTGAACAAACCCAGACATAGGAGCGGGCGAGGTCCAGCATTTCTGGACCTTCAGACACTACCCCTGAATATTTTCCTCTTTTCTTCACAAAATTTTTCGTGAAATTTTGAAGCTTCGTTTATTTTCAAGAGTATTATTAAACAGGAAATGAACTGAATGAATTACTGGCGTATAGAAATACAGTTGAAATAATTTGAAAATTAAGTCACATAATCAGATATTTATTGTGTGAAGCACTAATATGAACGTTATTACATACTTCAGTGGCGTTGGTATTGGACTAAATTTATTGGTTTTCTTTTGCATATACCTATTATCTACTTCCCATCAAAAACCAATATGTTTAAACACAAAAGTTTAGCAATACTGTAGGAGTTTATTTGCTGTACATGAAATGTGAAATTTGTCTGTTTTTCTTTATATGCATTTATTCATTTCTAGTTTCAGTATATTCATTCAATTCAAACCGAATTTAATGAAGAAGAAGCAGCGCATTCCAAAAGCAGACGGCTTCTCAAAGCTTTTTCTCAAGTTGGACGTCCGGTATGGAGAGGGAGACACAATCAAAAAGGGCAAATGTTGACTCAGACGACGGGAACCAATTTCAATGACCAGTTTTCACCCGAAAGTGCTCATTACATGAATCATTACGCATATACTACTAAAAACATAGCTCAATTGGCCTTAACAACAACAAAAATCACTTTTAAAAACGACTAAGCGATGCTCATATTGACTGCGTCAATCAAACATCATTTCTACGTGCGCATAACGATCCTCTTGGTTATTCCTATGCCATGCATCGAAAAGGCAACTCAGAATACACTGACAATCAATCCAACCACAACAAAACATACCCACGAAACTACACCGAAATATGAAAATCTGTGTTACTTCGCCTCCTTCTACACTCATTCCACACTTCATCAAGTTCTATTCAGAAAATCAAACAGTCCAACTAAATGCTCATCACATAGTACCTAATACAGTGGGCGTCATAAGTCTCGCCCCACTTTTGTATTTTGAGTCGCCCATTTGAACTAAACAACGTTGATTTAATTTGATTATATATTCTTGTAGCGGAGATGGAGCACTATCTGTATACACCTGTTCCATACGGAAAACTCTCGGAATATAAAATAAAATAGGCAAAGCAATCTTCAGTCCTACGAAAAAAATGATAAAAAAAAAGACAAAGTGATTATAAAATATGTTTAGAAGACTTTTTTATGCAATCGAAATTTGTTTACGCTGTTTTTGTCGAGCTTTTGACGCTGCATCTTGTGAAGGAAAAATCAAGGTGCTATCGTTATCTCGAGTCGAGATATATGCAAAATATGAAAGTCTTTCAACCATTTTTATTAGGTGAAAAGTAGCACTCTTATGTACTTTTTTCATTTCGAATNGATTTTTCGATGAATCCCTTGTCATAAATAGAAAATCCAGTAAAATGCTCGTAACTCGGGAAGAAAGGCCTATGGGCCCATATCCTTTTAGGCTTTTTCTAGTCTTATCAGATCCTGCTTATGGGCAAAATATCAGCTCAAAACCTCTGAATCACTTCGGGTACCTCCCTCGTAAGGAAAACATATCGGAAAGTTCATTTTATTTTAACAAAAGTGGTATAGTTTGCCCTTTATTACAGCTAACGTATTCTTGTTGATATTCTACGACGAATACTTATATTGATTATCTTCTTCAATTTTATCTTTAAGAAGTTTTCTAAATGATGATTTCGTTGTGTTTTTTATTTGAATTCTTCAATAGTTTAAACTAATCACTTTACAATTTTGTTTACATATTATTCTGCAATAAAAACTCCATTACTGATATGTATTGAAGAAAACTGTTTACTTAGATCTTTTGAATAGCATTAATAAACGATGAAAAAATAATTATTATGATCTTCCAGCGAAGTTTCATTAGTTTTTGGATATTGAAATGGAAATCAATTGACCTATATGTATTATGCAATTGAGCAATTCTTATTAAATTATAAGTAATTACAATTCCAGACGAGCCTTACGTGTTGCGGCAGGTCATTGCAATGCAATTACAAATATAGTACTCATCAAACCATGTGATATATATCGCAGTTGTGCTACTGGTAACAATAGTACTGCAAGATATCAAACCCCTTAGTATTGATACAACTTCATATTGATGTCAATTATTAATGATTATCATTTGTATGTGATATTCTTTCCCAATTGATTATCCCAGTAATAATATTTTACCTTCAAACATACGAGACTGATTATATAAAATAGAAGGAATTTTTTATTTATCAAAATTGATTTCTTTAAAAATGAAATAAAATATGTTTCTTACAATTACAATCGTTCGATAGTAGAACAACATGAAGATGATTTATAGATGGACTATAGTCAATGTATGAAGATGTTTATCATGAAGATAATGATCTATAAAAATGCTGACTGTATTGTGTATTATTTTCAAGAGCTTGTTCGAGCAAAAATAAAAAATAGAGAATATTGAGTTTATTCAATACAACAGAAAGAGTCAAATATTATAGACACACTGACAGCAAAGAACGTACATATAGGAAATAGTGATATGTAGGATTTTATATACGAAAACAAAGAAAAACATCTAATAAGTGATAGGAATGATAATAATACAAAAAATTCCAACATAGACAAAAAATAATAATTAGAGAAATTCGTTAGAATAAATTTTTATTATATCATATAGACTGTAGAATTTATTAGTAAACATATTTTAGTAAAATAAATGCAACCAAAATTAGTTATAAATTAATCATAATCAATAAAGTTTATTAACATAGCCCTATTCAATATCAATATGTGAAACTCATGATATCTGATTGTCATTAAAAAAAAAGTACAATTAACTGCTAAATGGATCTATCCTTTTTACTTCTGTCATTAGCTTTGAAGACTCGAAGTAAAAGCATTGACCCATAGTTTTTATCACAACCAAAATGCATTCATTAACGTTTGATTCGGGTGTGGATGTATGAAAAAAGTCAGAAACCTAATAACTTTCACTCATTTTTCTTTTCTTCGAAAAACATATATTTAACATCATGCAAATAATTCTAATAGAAATTTATGAAATATTTTGAATAAAATTTCAATTTCGGAAAATTTAATTCTTCTAAAGCTCATTTACTGTTAAAAAAGGACTTGAAAAAAAAACGATGCATTATTATGTTTTTCTTTTATTTTTCACCTTGCCGAAATGTAAAATAAAGAAGAACTGATAAAATTAGAATAAATATTGTCTTCCACCATCGTAAAATAAGTATATGAAATACTTCATTTTGTCGACATTCTATTAAATGTTGTTGAGAATTTTCTCGAAATCCTTTCCATCCACACTTATTAATACAATTAACAATTTGCTTTGGACATGAACAAGATCTATGATCATTATAATTTGATCGTTGAATATTTGATTGTTGACATAAGGTACATTGAACTAATAAACGATCTAATTGATTAAGTACAACTCGACTAATAACAGGTTGAAAATGATTTCCTATTTGTCGACATGATGGACATGATATTTGTTGTTGCATCCATTGTAATACACATGTTTGACAATAAGTATTTCCACATTTTATACAATTCATAGGTGATTGAAATGGTTCATCACATATTGTACATCTCAGTTCAACATCAATTTGATCTTCATTTATATAATTATAAGTCATGTGATTTATTTTGACGAAAAATATCGCGAAAAAAAGAATACGTGTTGTTCCCCAGTCAATTTTTTTTTCTTGTTACATAGAAGGAAGATATGGAGGAAGAAAAATTAAATGGTTTTCGTCCTTACATATTGTTTGTCTACCTTTCACTTACATATATACGAACACGTGTCTTCATGTTGATTATTCTTGTTTTCTTTGTATTTTTTTTTAAATATTCTTTGTCTTTTATTCGTTAAACAAAACAAGTCTATTTGTGAAATATTTAATTTATGAATTTATAAATTATGTAAAGAATAAATTCAAAAGATGGATTGCTAATACATTATATAATTATTTATTGTAGATTCTTGTCATTGATGAATTTGTCTTTGAAATAAGTACAAGAATAATGAAAAAAATGTACCATAAGGCTTTGTTCGATTTACGAACATTGAAAATAACATTTAATACTTATTTAGAAAAGAAAAACTTTTCATAGAAAGTTTTGTCGAATTCAAAGTGACTATTAGTCATTATAGAAAAAGAAAATTTTAATAATAAAGATTTTAATAAAAAGTAAATTAAAGTTAGATACCATGAAAAATTATCTTATCAATTAGTAAATCTCGATTTTTCTTGATCGGATGTAATAATTATAGTGTTCCAGCATGTTTCATAAAGTAGAGAAGCCTTAAAACAATACTTAATCCGTTCAATAATAATCGATAATTTCACAATGAGAACATGAACATAGACTATATGTGTTTTTGTCTAGTTATTCAACAAGTATATGCACTAGACATGAAACCAATTCATGTTTTTTTTTAAAACTGAACCGATTCTCTCGCTAACAGATACTGTATCATGTTGATGCAACAGAAAATAAAGAATATAATTTTTTTCTTCGTAAATGATATTTAATCGAAGAGAGATCGAATTGAATTTAAAAACTCTACTTTGAATTACTATATGTTCGATTTCGATTCAACTAACAAAATCTATTTTATTTTCAATTACTTGATACATATAAAACAACCTGTGATTTATGTAGAAATTTTTGAAAACTTTTTATTTATCAATAGTATAATGATATATTTTGTTCAATCGATTAATTTTCTATATCTTTAAAATGTAGAACATAAAATTAGAAATATTCAAAATTCTAGTACAAATATGAATGAATAGAAGAACAGCCATGCTGTTTTTTTTTTTTGTTTACTATTAATCACAGATAATGTCGTTATTGTCTTTTCTTTTTATTCGTTGGTTCGATCACGTTCTATTCATTCTTTCTATTTGTATCTCAATATTTCTATCATACATCACATCGATTGTTATAAGTTGAAATGGGTAGTATCCTATCATCTTATTGGTTATCTTCATCAAATGATAATTTCATATCATCAAGTTTAATATCATCTCAACTTATTCATCGTCATACACTTTCAACATGTTATGATTCAATATTTGATGTATCATTATCTTCAAAAACAACTTCTATACTTTTAAGTGATGATGGTAGACTTAGATTATTTAATATTGATCTAGAAAATGGTTGTCAATTAATTGAAACAACAACATTATCAACAAAATTATTAACTCATGAACAAATACATGATATTCAATGGTGTACAAACCTTGATCGTTTTCTTATTCTTACATCAAAACGTTTAACAACATTTGATAATGAAAATAATTTAATTAATGTTGATCTTGAACTTGAAAAAGGTTTTTATTTTTATAAAAGAAATTTCAATATTTATTTCAAAATATTTTATTTAATTTTAAGGTAGTCCTCCATTTTGGCGTATGGCTTGTTGGTCATTTCATCTTATTTTGAATCTTGGTTTGGGTACATATATTCGTTATTATAAATTTGTTTCATTAACATCACTACCTTTAATTAATTCATTGACACGTTCTTCTCTTGGTTATAATAATTCTGATTTATTATCATCACTTGCACTTAGTCCACAATTAATTCTTGCTATTAATGTTGAATTAAATGATAGTCGTCATGTTATTGATTTATTTTCTATAAATGATACATCAAAATTTCATCGTCTTAAACGTATTAATTCAAATGAACCGTGTTCACTTGATATAATAACATCATTACGTAATTGTACATGGTTATGTAAATCTCATTGGCCATCAGATGATTGTTTATGTATAATTGAATCAAATGGTCAAGTTAATAAAGTTGAATTACAAGAACAAAATGGTTATATTCTTAATTTAAGATTATTAGCTGATCGATCACATTTAGTCATTGTACGAACACCAAATAAATTACCAAAAGAAATTGATATTACAGAATTGAATAGAATTGAACAAGCTGAAGAACGATCAGCACATAGACCAAGACAAAAAATAATTGGCAAATTACCTGGAAATCTTTTATTAGAAATTTATAAAATTCCATTAACATTAACATAAAAATAGAATTTTCTTTTCCTGTAAATCATTTAGAACAAAATAAAAAGATTGAAAAACTTTTATATTAGACTATAGAACAAATGCAGTACAATTAATCAAAGTTTTGAAATTTGTTTGTTTTTGTTTTTGTAATATGTCAATGAATTTTCGTGATTTCCAAACAAAGTTTTCGATTTGAAAGATTCACTTGTTGTTACTCGACAAAAATATTGATTTCTATTAATCAAAGCACTGTTCATAGGTTCCTGTATTCGTCAGTCGAAAAAATTTTCTTCAAAATAAATAATATAACAAATTTGTGGATTGATTGTTAGAAGAACAATGATCTTTATATCAATAACAAAGCGAAGGTTGTCATGATAGGACTATGAAGTTCAATAATAGAATATGATTTTTGTACTACCTTGTTTAAAACTTTAGTTATTGCTAAGCATCTTATTCTTATTGTTGATGGTATCGAAAATGTTTTTATCATTGCACGAACATGGATGAAATATAGTTCCTGAGATTAAAAAGACAAAACTTAATTTTGTAATACGACACTAGGAACTGGCATTGAACTTGTTGATGATAGTATGACAGTTTTCTGTTTTGTATTAATGAAAATTATTGCTGTTCAAAAAATACATGCACGTATTAAAAATATTATTCATTTTGAAGAAAAACTTTCGACTAAATAATGTAACGATAAAATTTCGTAAAAAGATTCAATTGGAGAATTTTTTTTTCAAGACATTATTTGGGTTGTGTATGAAAAACATAGCCATAAAATATTCTTTCATGAATAGAAATACATAGTTTTTTTTTTGTAGTGTATTAACATTTGAATCTTTTGATAAAAAAAAATGCATTACAAAAGGAAGAACATGTAACCATGCCAATACTAGATTAGAATAAAAGAATCCATCCTTTTGCATCAATATATCCGTTGCTCTATAGTGATGAGTATAAAAGTTCTAGTCAGTTTTTTTCTTTAGTCTAACAAAGCCTACTTAGAGAAAAGAATAGTTTTTCTTATAAAATTTATTTGAAGAAGGTTAAAAACGAATTATCCCGATGCTATGAATAATTGATCGAAATTTTCAAATCACTCTTTTTTATCGATTGGGAAAGTTTTATATCGATAAAATAGCAACATTTTATGAAACGTAACTAAACCCACCGAAAATTGACTATCATAGACTGAGAAAAAATCACCTAAAAAATTTCGATAACCAGAGAACAAAATCGAATATCTCACCTCTAAAAGCCTTTAGCTCAGTTTTAAAAAAATATTCTTTCTTCTAATTAAATTATATTAAAACGAAAAGAAAACAAACTGCTACTCTATACTCCTCAACCTATGGTAACAAGTATGTTGGCGTAAAAATTATGAATCCTATCATTCTGACCTAATGGTTAATGACGGAAATTCATCAATTGATTAATCGATTTTAAGTTAGAACCATGTGGAGCCTATAGCTTATTGGTGTCGACATATTGTATTTTTACTAGGAAAGTTTAGCAATAAAATATGTCTCTGAATATTTCTATAATTAAATCTGGTTAAAATAAATCGACATTTATTAGCAATGATATTAATTGTACCGAGGAAATTCGTGTTTTAAATAAAGAAGCATCTGTCAAACGTCAATCGATTGATTATTTTAGTTTTTGGAGAATTATTTTACTCGTGATAGTTCAGATTTTATCATAAAACTATAATTTACAGTAAAGATTGTTTTTTAGAAAAATCAACTGAAATCAAACAATATTTTCTAAATCTAACATTGACAAACCATATTAACTGAAGTCTCTTTCAATATATACTTTAGAACTCATGACTAGACGACAAAATTTCTATACGATCATCAATATTGAACAAATAAAATTCAAATTGCCATGGAAATGGACATTTGCTGATGTTAACATTCATTTCATATGTATTTTTGGTTTGTTCATTGAAATAACTGATTTTTCGATGATCACAATCGATTAACAGCTCTAAGTTTAACGTTGTTTCGCCTTGTAAATCCTTTGGGTTTTTCCGGTTTTTCCGATCAATGTCAGGATTGTTCATGCAATCGTCAGTTTGCCAACCGTAGGCAAAATATTCCTTTTTAGATGAGTCTCCCAATATATGGAAAGATTTTGAGACGATATTAAAACCTATCACATACAATGCGGTTTTTTTGCTAATGATTAATTGAATTTTATGTTTTCCTTGTGAATACTCGCCTAATGCGCGTGCGTAAGCATTACCACATTCGCTATTACCGTGTTTAATCACACGGCCATTATCTTCAATATAAATATCGCCAGAAACTTGTCCAAATCGTTCTTGGAAGTCTAGTTGTTGCACTGTAGAAGAGATATACATTTTAGCAATAAGTATATTGGTTGGATCCTCATTAATATTAATCGAATGGAAAACAGCAGTAATATAACGTTTCCATTTTTCAAGTTTAGTTGCCCATATTTGAAGATCAGTTTCAACATAATCATCATCTGTACGAGCTTTTCGCAATCGTTTAGCAAGATCATTCAGTTTCTTTGACACGATTTCTTAATTTTATAAATATTAATAAACAAAAAATGATTTTCTTTCATATCAATTTACCTGTTTGTGTACTGATCAATTTATTAACTTGTTGTTGTGCTTCTTGTGCTGTTTGTCGAATCTTTTCGATTGCATCTGTTTCCCATTTGTTAATTTGCTCAATAAGAGGATGGCAATGATTTTGTTTATCTTCATACTCAACAATCGTCTGCTGTAGAATATCATGTTCAAGAACGATATTATCTAATTGATGACTAAGAGTGTCTCTATGTTCAACAGAATGTTTTCGACAAAATACTTGTGTACATCCTTCACATTTAAAAATACCCACACCATTTTTGCCACATGGTGCACAAAGAGCTTTTGACGGTGATGAAGACGTCATGAATTTTATTCCTTTGTCGTAAATGAAGAAACAGAAAGAGTAAGGTTATTCTTTATGTGTTTCTTCACTGCATCGGCAGAAACCAATGATTAATACAAGAACGCAAAATAACGGTATTTGTGAGTCAAACTATTGAGATTATTTATTTTCTGTTGCCTTTCTGATTGTGTAGTGAAAGATGAAAATTCATTGAAAAGTCACAATGATAATGCGAAACATTTTTATATCGATGCACCTCTAAGTTTGCAGCGTTTATTCATTTTCATATTAGTTAGAAATAAAAAAATAATTTTTTCGGTTGTACTTTTAATTTTAATTTGGATTATATATTTTCATAAAACCATTCTCAACGCATCAATTTTTAACTTTTTAGTTAATATAGAATAACGTCGGCACGGCATATATATATACTTATATGTAGGATTACTTAGTGTACATAAAAAAGTGGTCGTCTTTAATGAATTTTTTTGTATTTGAAGAATACTGTTTATCAGATTCTTTAAATACGTTCAGTAAAATGATAGAAATTGTACGGTGATATTCTCAATGTATGTGGCTAAAACAAACACTTGTTCGGTATTTTGAGTCACAGCTAAATGAATGTGCAAACAATACGTGTAATCAAGAAATAAAAATTGATCAATCTTTAGATCTAATTATTCGTCAGAGACTGATTGAAAAACAGTTTTTTTGTTACAATTCATATATGAATATTAAACTCAAAAAAAAAAAGAATTTTTTGATAACACATTTTCCAATTATAAAACACAAAAGTTTTATTATCATTTTCTTTCACAGATTGGACAAATATTAACTGAGTTTTTAATGAAAGTAAAGAGATTTTTGAATGACCCAGGGCTGGTCAAGCATAAATGCATATTCGTACTTGTACTCGAAATTTGAACTATTGAGATATTAGAGAATGCGAGTATGGATGTAGGTCTTTTTTTCATTCATACGCACCCACCTACGTTGACATTCACATAGCCACAATCTAAATTGAAACGACAGGTGGTGGATAGGATTTAATTGAAGAATATAATTTATTATCATGTCTTCAAAATGAAAAAAATTATGTCAATCCATTCAGAGAATTATCACATTCATATCGGGGGAATGTAGTCTTGCAATCTGTACTCAGGTCGAAAATGAGCCATCGGATTCTGTCGGATCTGTCTCAATCCGATGACTGAATCCGATGGAATTCCGATTGTCGACATCCGATTGGATCTCAATTGATTTCCATAATTTCCGACACATTCAGATTACCGGCTTCCGATGAAATCCGAAGGACGGATCCGATAGTATTCATTTGTCGGAATCCAGTCGGTTCCATCAAGCTCCGAGAAGTTAGTCGTCGAGTTGCAGTGCAACATATGTTCTGTATATAAATTTATTTCTAATTTTAATGGTTTTTAGATTCCAATAAAAAAAATGAGCTCAGGCATGCTAATGAATGAGCAGGATGAAGGAACATTATTACAAAATGATTATCAGAGCACTATTTTTCAAATAAAACTCGATGATTTCTCATACTTAAAATTTATCTCACTACTGCAATAAGAACGAAAACACCAAATCGATTAAAGTGTTGCACGAGATTAGTATTATTACAAGTTATATAAAAGTTTGAGTATATTTTTTTGACTTAATGATAAATTGTGAATATAAAATTCATGATAACTAGATTTGATCATCATATCAATGTGAAATATTTCAATGGTAAGTTTTCTTCTATGTTGTCGATTATGAAACATAATAACTATATCTATCTTGATGTAAGAACTACTAATCTATTTCATACAAAAATCATTTCAATAACAACAGATGATTGCTCTCTTGATTATTATTCATAATTAAATCGAATATCTAACATGAGTATGTTCTAATGCTAACTATTATTAACTATCATCATTATCAATGCATGTAACTGTGCCACAGCAATATCTTAGTCCTTGAAAATTAAAGATAAAATGTTTGTAAGAAAGTTTATTAGTCAATATTTTTCTATATTGAATTTGTTCCACAAAAACAAAATGCTTTTGTCAGAAAAATATAAGTTGATAAATAGACTATGCAATTCTAAATACTGAAGGAAAACCAGAATCCTCCTATTCAAAATAAAATACTAATGACACAAAAGAAGAAAAAATATTCTCTTACGCTCTTTCTCAACGTTGTTCAGTGGTGTCAGTGAAATAAAAATAAATTACAAGAATTCTAATCAGTAAGTCTTCTCTTTTCTCATTGATAAAATAGTGTAAGATATATTTCTTCAACTAAAGCTTTACTTAACATCAATCATATTGATTTGAAAGGACTGCAAGAAAAACAAAACTACGAGATATTGCCATAATTCACTCTTATGAGTTCAATAGATTATCTTTTCTTCATTGATTATTACTGGTAGTTTTCAGACAACAATAAAATAATGTTGCAAGTATCACTATAATAACTGATGAATTTTTCTACAATGAATTTGATTAAGCTAATGAATAAGCCGTTTCTCAAGCATTTACTACATACTTAAAATGAATAATTAGAGCCTTTTGCATATTTTTTCTTTCAACCTCTTCAAATGAATTATTACAGAGATGTTACTAATCGAATAAAAACTAATTCAACTATTAATGATTTCTCTATAAAAAAAATAAATAGAGACTAGATATGCTCCCACTCAGTTGCTTAAAAAATTTATCAGGAAAATTCAAAAGAATTTATTCATAAAGTGTGTTCACTATGTTTTGACCCGCTTATTCAATAAAATTATTGAATAAGCGGGTCAAAACTTACTGAACACCCTTGATAGATTAATATGAGATTTTTTGCTAATTAAATTATGTTCTTCGAATAACAATATAGTCAACAGAAGTTTTAAGTCGAATTTTTAAGGCTGTCTTATATCAACCAGGAGAAGAACAACTACCATTGGGCAAATTTTTATAATGATCGAGGAGAGCAAAAGCCAAAAGAACATTCTGAAGTCTTTCTTGTCATTGAAATCAATTGATAATTATGTTTTTTTTTGACAGATTTTCCACTTATCATATTTAATGTGAGCATATTGTAGCAAAAAACCACATGCAAGTTGCATGCCCATTTTAGTCTTAAAGGAGCTTCGCTGACAATTGTTTTCATATGGATACATTAAATTGTTTTTGAGTTATTTTTAAAGTAAGAATTAAATTAAATTTTATTTTAATAAAATAACGTGTTATTCAATAGATAGATATAAACTTATAAGAATTCATTTGCATATATATTTTTTTTAGTAGCATTAGAATTACGTCGAAATAATGTTGAATCAATAGTGTATATATACAATAAAGTATTTCATCATGAAGATAATCAAGAACATCTAATAGATTTTTCGACATTAGATGATATTAAATATTATATTGATAATCAAAGACGTCCTTTTCATAAATTAATAAGTACTCAACGAACATTAGTTGGTTATGCATCGATTGAACCATCTTGTTGGTGGCTTAATAATGGATTTTCAACTTCACGTTATAAAACATTTGTTTAACACCAAATTGATATTTATAGAATGCTATATCATATTAATACATCTGTAAGTCGTTATTTAAAAAAAGAAAATAATTTGGTTTTCTTATTTCTTTTATTTAAGTTAATACGAATAAATGAATGTTCAAAGATGGATAAACAACAAGTTGAAAATCTTCATATTTGTGCATCTGATGGTCTATTTCTTCCTGATCTTGTATGATGAAATTCGTAATTTAAGTAAACAGTTAAATGATTGTTCTCAAGTTTGGTCATCGTATTTTTGTTTAACACAAACAAAATCTTATCAAATACATTGTGGTTCAATATATCATCGAAAACATTTGATAAAAACAGATCTAAATAAATATGAACAATGTTTAACTGAACTTCATCGAACTGTTGTTTATCTTCAAATAGAACATCAAAAATCAACAAATCTATTAATAAAATATCATTTTCAAAGATTTTTATCTGGTGAAATACCTGAAAATTTTGTTCGATTTGTTAAAAATGACCAAGCTGATTCAATATTTATTGCTATGTCAGCTATGTATTATTCAATAACACAACTTGCAAAAGCAGCTTTGGGTGCAACAATACATGATGTTTTTGAACTTGACAGAACTGATTTATATCGACCTTTTTAAAAATTTGAACAACTTTTTTATTATCTTTTTTTATAATATTCTCATGAATGGAAAACTCTCGTTCAATCTCTTTTCAAATTAATCAAAGAAGGGCATTGATTTAAGTACATGTTTTACTCTAACCATATAGAGGTTTATGACTGTAAATGTCCATGACGATACAATGTTGGATATGTTACTAAAAATTCTATTCAGATTATTACATTTCAATATAATATTTCTTCGTAGATCAAAAAAAGAGCATTCTTTGTTGTAATCATATAAATGATATCTGATTTAACAAGTCATACAACTTTATTGCTCAAAATGAGAAAAAATAGACTGGTCTTTTATTTATGCTACTGATCAAATGGAAGAAATGTCTTTTGTTTGATATTTTCTAAAAATTTCTACTGTTGTTCAATGTTTAGCAGATAAATCAAGAGGATCGGTGCTGCACCTAAGCACCAAATTTTATTACAAGGTACTGAACAAATGTTGAAGGTACTGGGAGCTTTAAGCCTGCACTGTCTCCCTTGACTTTAGCTTTAACCATTTAATTAAAGTATTTTTAAAGTTCAAGTACCATCCCTATTTGTCATTATCAAAATAATTTCTATACTTAAATTTCTATCTAATATTTAATTGCAAATCTTTTTCTTAATGTTGTAATTGCATATCTAATTCATTGCAAATTTAAATCATAGCCAATCATTTCACACTCATTTTGTTTATTTTTATAGTTACTTTATTGACCATCGCTGTGCTCACACAAATAATAAAAGACCAGGATGGATCCGTAAGGTTTCTACCACTTTTCAGGAAAACATTTTTTCGATTTTAATAGTCTAGTTAGACGTAACATCGTCGGAAACGGTCTGATGTAACAATTACAACCTTTTTGGGCATATATAGGGTATTCAATAGTAACCAATAATATATTGTTAATCATATTTTTCATAGTCTTGACATAAAGAGCTGAAACTGTAAGAAATAAAAGATCTTGATTAGATATTTTTTTGATAAAAACTTCAGCTCTCTATGTCAAGAAAAAATATGATTAATAATATATTATTAGTTATTATTGGATACCCTTTGTATGTATGCAGTGTTCTTAACAAATGATGTAGTTCTTTACACTTTGTATGTCCAAAAAGGTTATAATTGTTACATCAGATCGTTTCCGACGATGCTACATCTAACTAGACTATTAAAATCGAAAAAAAAACACTTTCTTTCAGAATATTGGCACAGAGTACCCTTCTTACAAAAAGTGGTAGAAATCCCATGAATTTACCAACTATTGATTTCGATCGTAATTTTTCCGTTATTATGATTACAATATACTTAGGGTATACCAAAAGTTCTGATCACAGTTTTTAAAATTTAATAAAGCAATAAATATTGAATATTTTACTAAGGCAATATATAGTATAACNCGTAATAAATCTTCAATGGTTTGGGTAACCATTTCAGGCCTTGGTACGGATCCGCACAAGTATGCGATATTTTCGCGGTATATTCACCTGCAGGTATTGCCGCAGGATATCAGCCACACCTATACAATTGAACTTCTCTGTTGATGCAATTTTCAAAGTTTGTAGAGCTCTCAATTCTCAGCATTTTGATAAAACAAAAGCTTTGAAAAGTTTCTATTTTTAATGAGATATACCCGAAATACTTTAAGAAGGAATAAACAGAAATCCGAAAAAAAACATTTTTTCCACACATTTTTCGTCTGCGATGTTTCAAAGTGAGAGGAATCCGAGGCTGAATTTTACATATGTTATGCAGCTTTCTATTCTCTACAAAATGGTGCAAACGGATTTAGAAAAAGATGGTTTCTTTAAGGCGAAACAGGACTTATGCCATATCCTATTGGCTAAATTTTTGAACAGAAATAGACATTTCTAGCGGTTTTAATTGTCATAAGACATTTTTAAAACAAAATGGATACAATATTCAGAATCAGCATCAAAACTGCATCGAACTATATATAATTCAAAGGAATTTTTTTCCGACCCGAAATTGACCTGTGGGAGACCACAGGGAATTTTTTTTCAAAAAAGAGCTATGGTCTGCCACAGATCAATTTAGGGTCGGAAAAAATTCCTTTGAATTATATATAGTTCGATGCAGTTTTTGATGCTGATTCTGAATATTGTATCCATTTTGCTTTAAAATCGTGTTATGACAATGAAAATCGCGAAACAATTCCATTTCTTTTCAAAAACCCATCGAGTAGAAGAAGATGGAAGCCCTACTTAGAATCGAATGACCTACCTTTTTTTAAATCTGTCTGCACTATTTTGTAGGGAATAGAAAGCTGCATAACATACAAAAAATTAAGCCTCGGATTCCTCTCACTTTGAAACATCGCAGACGAAAAAAGTGTGGAAAAAATGTTTTTTTCGGATTTCTGTTTATTCCTTCTTAAAGTATTTCGGGTATATCTCATTAAAAATAGAAGCTTTTCAAAGCTTTTGTTTTATCAAAATGCTGAGAATTGAGAGCTGTACAAACTTTGAAAATTGCATCAACAGAGGAGTTCAATTGTATAGGTGTGGCTGATATCCTGCGGCAATACCTGCAGGTGAATATACCGCGAAAATATCGCATACTTGTACGAATCCGTACCAAGGCCTGCAATGGTTACCCAAACCATTGAAGGTTTATTACGATAGAGTGATGTCGGCACTACCAGTTGATAAAGATAGGTATCGAATTCGTTTGCATAGGTAAGAGAAATCAAATGCAAAAAAAAGGGCTTATTTTTGCAGCAAAATCACCTGCCACGAACACATTGAATGACGAAAGGTAATTCTGGGACCGCATATATGTAGGGCATATATCACCGTATATATCGACCAAATTTGGTGATTGGAAACTTTATAGGTGAATAACAGCATGATTTAGAAAAATAACGTGTACAGTGGTTCCTATCGCTGGGTGGTAGAAATGAAGTCGTTATTTCTCAGCAATGGAATGATATTGAACGTTGAAAATTTTACCATATACCTAATTTGAGTAGTGCTATCTATTGATTCAATGAAAACCAAAATCGGAGAAAATCATTGAGCAACCTATATTAGAATCAGTCGTGGTTCTCGTGCAATGACTCTATAGGAGGTGTAGTGTATTTTAATCGATTCCTAGTGAATTTAATCGGTTTCTAGTCGATTATTAATCGATTAAAATCATACACCTTTTAGTCGATTAATAATCGATGTAGAATCGATTAACAATCAAAGTGAATCAATTTTAATCGGTTATCAGTAGCAGATCGATGCTTTATTGATTATAGTCGATTGCGACTGATTTTAACCGATTTTTAATCAAAACTTAATCGATTATAATCTGATTTTTTTCATATGTTTTTTTTACATGGGATATAGAAACTTCACTACAAGGAAAATGATGAGTAAGATTTACTTTTACAAGAAAACAATGAATAGAATGACTAATGGATGTTTATCAACAAAATAATAGTAGGAAGATATTTTTTATTGTCTAAGAAGTAATAGTAAATATAAATTTGATAAGAAACAAACAAATTTTCTTGAAGATTTCTTAGGAAAATTTTTAAATAAACAAACTGAGCTTAGTGATTCCAATCTCAACTAGATTCCAAACTCAACTGCAACATATTTTTATACATTGCCGGCTTTGCATATTAAACATCCATTTATATTTGAGTGTTAACAATATCGAATAATTTATCTTAAGTCAATATGTACTACTAGTAGTAGAACAATTATTCTTGTACACTCGCGTTTTATGTATTATTTTAGGTGTGTCCCATATATCATGATTATTATGTTGAGAAAATCGGATTTATTGAGACAAACATCATAACTCCTATTCGTATAAGACAAGGCATGAACACTAGTATTGACTTGCATGCAATCAATATTATTCAGTTGATCTTTGTGACATTTTGATCTTGCAAAACAGTTATTGCCAGTTATTTCATGATGGATGAAACGCTCACCAATGTAACTGGCTGAGTAAAAAGATAAATTAGTATCATGAAATTTTCTTCTAGAGTACAGTATAAGAACATTTAATGATGACAATGACTGTACCTGTCGTCTTTATGTCAGATATAATAATATGTGATTATCATGATGCTAAACAACTAATATGAACAGAAAAGACAATCTTAAGAATTTTTTTCACCCAAACTCGAGTTCTGTTTCGTTTACAGCACTCACGATTTAGTTTGTTTTCACTAAAAATAAAGTCATTTGGTCACAAATACGTCGCCTCATCAAATGGTGTCATTATCAATCGAAAGACATGTTGTTGCTGTCCGGCATGTCGATTGTCGTCCGAATGAGTTAGAGTACAGTGTTGTTCACATTTCTCGCAAAAGATCAGCGAAGGACAATGTACACAATCGAATCGAATACCACGCACCGTCTCATGACAGCCGTCACACCTGCAAACAGTTTTCATCGTCAGAGATTACCAATCGATGCATAATGTTTTTCTCACTTACTTGATATTTTCATGTACTACAAGTGGACTTTCAGGAGGTGGAAGATCATTCATTAGTTCTCCAGGCTTTCGAATAGTTGCTGATCTATACTTTTTCGCCTGGTCCCATGTAAAGCTTTGTCCACAACCTGATTGAGTATTGCCGCCATGATAGTCTCGTCCACACACCATCGAAGAACATCCTTCTATACGCTCAACAAGTCGTTTGCAATGCGGGCAATGACGACAATGCTCTGCTTTGTATTTTTCATCTTCTACTGCCGTATCATAACGGCGACGTAACTCTTCATTTCGTTTTCTGTTCGCAGCATGTTGTTTTTCGTACTCAGCTAATCGAACTCCATATGCCGCATCTTGCCTTGCTCGCTCAGTCAAATAACGAGCACGCTCTTCAAACACAAATAAATGAATCAAGAATAAAAAAGTCACTGAATTTCGAGTGCCTTTGATGCTGTACCTGAATTACACCAGAAGAACCATCGTTCTGTGATCACAGTTAGTTGTTGGCAAGCTGTTCGATA